TATATATATAGAGAGAAAATTTTATGGAATCAGAAACTTACCTTCGTATACTTTTGTACAATTCTAGAATTGGTGATCGAGAAAGAGGTGACATTCGACGGTAGACTGTTGAAAATAAGTTAAGCGTTTTATTCTCCGATTGGTATGACAATTCCAGGACATGATCTATAAATAATTTAATTTAAAAGAAAAATTGAAATTAATTTGAATTCTAGTTGAATTAAAAAAAGATAGATAACCTCAACAGATATTCCATATCTTTAAACGATTCTTTCGTTTTATTTTACATTCTTTTCTTCCCTAAATTTTATGAACTCTTTTATTAATTACAGAAACTGGTTTATAAAATCGCAAAATAGGCTAAACGAATTGGATCGTGATTTTACAATTTTAGATGTTTTAATTTTTTACTTTTAGTAACAAGTCAAAATTAAAAAAAAGGATTTTATGTCTATGACAAGCAAAATAAAAAGTATATTTCCATTTAGTTCTTCCTTTTCAATTCTGAAAACTGGAAAGTTTCAAAAAAAGAGCATACGAACTAGTCTCAGACTCTAAAAACACTATATGTAAATAACTTGAAATAAAATCAAAAGTGATAAAGTGGCGAAGAAAATTGGAAAAGGAATGAATAAGAACTTTTGTTTTATATTTTTTTTATTAATCATTGATGGAAAGGTTAGCGAATCTAATATTGAATTCATTGATAAATTTATGAAAGAAACCTTTTATGATGTTTGATTTCATCCAAGTCATTTTTGTGAAGATGGCCTTTGTCCTATCTTTATATTACTGTGAACCTTGATGTTTTTGCACTATTAAAACATTTGGTAAATAACACATTCTATGCAATGAAATCAGCGATCGCTCTTAATTAAAAATTAACAGGAAAATAGAAAAAGTTTTTTGTTGATAACCGCGGTACATGTGGGTTAATGATTTATTGTTCCTTAAAGTGGAATATACATTTTCGCGTGATTTTTTCTTTTGGTTTTCGAAGCATTCGAATATGGATAAACGATATTATTTACTATTGCATCAACCACCAAAACCATATTCAAACTTTATTTATTTCATCCCACGCACTGTATCACTTTTCTCTAAGACACAATTGTTTCCTAAAAAATCTGCTAAGTAAGAGCCTTTATTTTCGCATAAGTATGCGCAATAGTTTTAAAAACTATCAATGAGTTTAGCAAATATCTATTTAGGCTTTTATCTCACTGCTTAGGTACATATTTGATAAACTCACTGAAAGTTGTATCAAGTTTGTAGTAAGTTTTTATCAGATGTCTTTGTCTATGTGTCTTGCAGACTATGTGTCTGTCTCTAACACTGATCCCACGACATTATCGAAAATTAAATTTATATAATTCGAACTTCATAAACATATTTTCTTACCTTTATAAATGGTGAAAGTTGATTCCCAAAAACCTTTAAGGCTTTTAAGCTGATATTTCACGTTCTCCTCAAATTTTTTGATAGATTTTTCCAGAATTTCTTTTTCAGTTTTATTATCACAACAATTACCGCCACAAATTTCACCTGTAAGAGAAATATGAGAAACTTGTCAGGAAATTTGATAAAATTATCGATATAAAAAAGGATATGTTCAAATTTATTTAATTTTCTGATTGGATAGAATGACAATATATAATATACATATAAGAATATTTTTCCTTCACTTTTGAAAAAAAAATCATAAGTTAGAAGCGTCAAAGGAAGAAGTTTGTCTTTCTTCTTGTTTCAATCATCATACAAATTTTTTGATAAAAAGTGAAAGATCAAAGCGAATAGAATAAACGAAAGTGACAGAACTCATTTTAAAAATGTGTTTTTTGTTATAGCAATGTTTCTGTTTAGTTATATGAAATTAATAAAGTCATTTAATCTCCTTCATAATAATTTTCTCACGAAGGACATATAATGTAGTTCAAGAAAGAGATGCATTTGACTTACGAATTAAAATGAAATCAGATATAACAATGGAGTGTCAAACAATTTGTGACTTTTTTGTGTAAGTATTTTTCTTGATGATTCTAAGAGAATAATTTCATGCTTAAACGTTAATTTTCTCAGTTCCAGACACGGAAATATTAAAAACATTGATTATAACTTTTTAGCACATCTATTTTAAAAAATTAACATGTGATAAATATGTTGATGTTACGTTTATTGTTTATTATAGTTCGTTCAGTAAAGGAGCCCACTATTAATTCAAATTGGGTTAGATGGAAAAACAAATCTTGTTCATTTCTATGCCTCTGGAAAGTTGCACATTTAAGTTTTCATCATTCAAAAAAACTGCCCGATTACATATCTATGTATCCAAATCTATCAATTATTTCGTGTAAAGTGTAAAGTATGTAAATATGCATAATGCATTTAATTTTGAAACATAAACATAGAAGATAGGGAATCAAAGCAAATGGCAATTATCAATCTAAATATGTTTAGTGTTAAAGAGTAATAACAAGATAAGCTGACATTATTTATAGACACAATTATAAACAGGAAAAAGAACCTTTTCATCGATAAATTACATGCGTAATTTCTATTCTCAAGTCTTTTTGATTTTACTGAGTTCAGTGCAGTAAAAATATGTGTATCAAATGATATACCATTTAAAACTTGAGATGGATGTTTACTCTGATGTGAATATTTCTATTTATACATTTTAGGCTGTTATCAGATTTTACATATGTTTGAGTTACATTATATTGCCATGCATCTTGTGGTTGATTCGTTTTGATTTCTGTTTTAGATGAATTATTATTATTAATTTATGAGACATTCAACTTTTTTATGACAAGAATTTTCGTATTGAGATAGAAAAAGAAACCATTTTATGCTAAACATATAGCTTATATATGATTTTTCTTAAGTTTCACACACTTCCTATAATATAATTTTTGGAATTCGTCAGTACAAGGATAGGTTTAAAAATCAAATTTCATAAAAACCAAACATCATCAAATTTTACATACTACCTAATTAGTGGAGCAACTATCGTATGCAAAATTTGCATACTTTATCTTTAATATGATTTTAACAGATGTCTCAAGACACAAATATTTCAAACATGTTAAACACTAGTGCGAAAATCAAATTTGGCAACACTGCCAATTTGAATTTTGCTTTTGTGCTGATTCAATCAATTCGTATAAACACTTTTTTAAATTCCTTTTTATTTTTTGACTTGCAACGCTCATGGAAAAAATTGCGAAAAAAAGAGATAGAAGATGAGACAAATCATGGAGTCCAAACCACATACAGTTCGGCTTTGCTTTTAATAAATGTATCTTCGAAAATATTAATTTACTACAGTCAGTCACAAGTTGACACATATCTTTACCAAAAATATGATATAGAAATGCAAGCAAACAAACGTTATAGATAATAAGAATCATTTTCCTCACTGATGGTTTTTTGGTGATAAAACTGCATGGAGCAGCAAAATACCAGGTTTATGAAATAATGAAAAAGAAGCGACTTCGTTCATTGTTCAATTTATAAATGTGTTTGTGAACTTAACGCAAACCAGAATGATTATCGTATTCGTAATAAGTATGTATGTATTTTCTTTCACATAGCTATGCACATGTTTTGCAATCAAACTTTATTTTTCGTTCATCGATCGCTTTGTCGAGAAGAAATGAATAAAATAAAAACAGAAAAGGGTCGTCATCATCATCAGGTCCAGAACGGGTTTAATCAATCTGATCTTAATATATCAGTACCAATGACTAGATTGGCACCTGAAGAAAAACTGAAAAAACTTAGTTATAGCTTAAACTGTAAGGTTTAGTTATAAGGTTTAGGAAAGTGGTTTCTTAATACATGTTGCAACTTTTCCTCATACATTACATTTCAGTGGGTTGACACCAGATGGCGACCAGAATGTTGTCTATTTTACAAACATATTTAATGATAAATATCTACTTTAACTTAAAATTAAAATTCTGATAGGATTCGATTTGATTCTCATGTAATCTCATTGTAAAATTTCATGATGTTGCATAACAAACATCAAACTCCCTACATTTTATTAATCCATTTTCGAACAATGTTTTATCTCAGAACTTTCAATCAATTCATTCAGTCAATTCATTTCAAATCTCTTTGATACTAAGAACACTAAGATGACTTAAAGTAAAATTCTAAATATTATAAAAAAATCGTCAACAAATTTCGCTACCTGGCGAATTTCAAATAAGTTGAGAAAAATTCGCCGGTATCTTCAAAAGCTCAAATTTTTACCATCCCTAAACGCAAGGAATGTCTTTTAACATCCATAGCAAAGAAGATATAGCAAGCAAGAATGTTTTTCGTTTTCTTATTGTTGAAATCGCGACGAGACCTACCATTACATTCAAAATAAAAGATGAGAATCGAGTCAGTCAAACTATCGTTGAAAATTTGACTATGCGGTTTATCGAAGATCATAAAACTTTTTTTATAATCTTCAAACATTTTTAAAAGTTAACGTAGATAGTGTTCTTTTTTATTTTTAATTCCTCAAATTCTTTATCTGATTTTCTTTCAAAATAACCTCAACTTTATAAGTAGTGTACCCTAAAGTGTATAAAAGCACTCATTTTTTACATAAACTCTTCATAAAAAATACTTTTAATAAGTTACTGTGATTTGTATGACATAGGAATGAAATGAATTGTTCAAATCTTTTCTTAAAAGTATGGTATTTGTCAAATAACTCATAAATGATCAATAATTGATAAATTTTAATATTTATCTTGTAAAGAACTTTAATGAAAACTTGAAAACAGGAAAACCGGCGGAGTGAAAATAAATAATTGCTTAATGTAGATTTTTTTCTTCTGGTCGGGAAAAATGTCTTTCTTATTTTCTTTTTTAAAGTGATGTGAGTAGACGTGACGATAGAAAAAAAATGAGAAAAAACTCGTTGAAATATATTCAGCAATGACTCAAACTATTAGTGGGCGGCACACTAAAACGTACATTCACCATTTCAAACAAAACCGAATGATGCTTATAATCCATCGACACACCGGGACATTTCGGTGACAGATGAGTCAGGAATGCTTGTTATAATTATCAATACAATGCTGGTAGATTGAGATTGAGCCAACAGAACAGTCTTTTTAAATTGATTTTGGAAGGTTTTTTTTGGAACAAAAAAGTGAAGTCATGCATATTGACAAAAAAAAAGCAACACAAAATCGGTCATTAAAAGTATTTTGATTTTCCTACACCTTAAAAGAATCTCCGTTTTTTAAGATGATTTCATCATTCTCTTAGCCATCAGAAACCTACTTGGTTTTTAAATTTTCAATATTGATGGATTTTTATTATTTCCATGTTTCTCTTTTTTCAGTATTTCGCTTTTTGTGATGTATCAACGAACAAACGAAAGAAAGAATGATTCAGAATGCTTCAACAATATATAATTGATATGAATATATTAAACAAAATTCGAAAATAAAAGAAGACAGCCTACTATGTCATATGAACTACTCTATATATTTTTCTTCATTATGAGTTATTCTGTGAACTACAAAAACTTTATTTCCTCAGCTCATCGTGAATTTACAACTCGTCTTCATTCACTAATTGTTCTAAAATAAGATAACTATGATACATGTGACTTAATGTCATTGGTTGGTCAAAATGAGTGTAAGAAAGAAATTGTGACACACAATCACACAATGAAAAAAGCCAAAGTAAAAAAAAAAATTCTTTTCTTACTTAGTACGAACACTCAATAAGTTAGTCTTTTTTTTTGGTTAAAAAAGCAACACTTCTACCTGAGTAAGACATTTTAAAAATAAATACATTGACTTCCCAATATTGTGCCGAGAACTTTTATCTGTTTTATTTATGAATGAAGGAATAATAATGTCGGGCATCACGTTTCAAAGTTTTTAGCACCTTTTCTACATTTTTCATGTATTATTATTGTATTAGCTGGGAATATAATTCATCATGATATGAGCTGATAAGGTGTGTAGAAATGTGTCTTAACACTTTACTTTACAACTTATATATCTACATAAATAAAGGTACATATATGTTTGTATATTTAGGTAGACATGAACATTGACAAAAACAGAACCAAAAACAATAACAGATAAAAGTGTTTACAGTTGAAGTTTGGAACTATTCGATAAAATGAAAACGATAGGAGAATGGAAACGTGATTATTTAAATTGTATGATGGATAGACCATGGGATAAATAAACGCATTGTACACATCGTAATGTTGCAGTGAAATGTTATGTCTTGTAACTTCTCGATAAAAAGGAAATGAACGAATAGCAATCAAAATAGGTAACTTACCGACTTTTGTAGAAGGGTGAATAGTCACATTGAGGATGGATTTGAAAAAACGACCGATATGCTCACTACATTTACCGATGTTTTGTGCCTCTAAATTTTTTGCACTAGCGAAAAATATACTAGATTTATGATTTATTAAAATAAATAACAAATAACACCAAGTAAATATTAATTTAATTTTCATCTTCATGGTTTTATTTTCTCTTCACAGATTTAAACTTTAACTTTAACTTTTGTCTCAAGCATCGGCGAATTTTAATGAAAGTAACTATTTCTTCATTACGTATTTCATTCTCTCGTCATTTCGCTCTCCATCTTCAAAAAAAACAACGAAAAGAAACGAAAAAATTTCTGCTATTCCACTTTGTACGACAAATTTTTAAAATTTTCTTAGGTTTGCACTACTTTCGTTTCATTTACACTTTTCGCCATCACTATTCATTAACGAATTAGTAAATATAAAGTTTCACATATCATCATATCGACAACTTTAACTTTGAAAGTTATTTCGTATCAAATGAAGAAAATTTTCTTTTTATGAAAAAATTGCCTCTCCTTTTTTTTCACTGTTTATAAAAGAAAGATTCTTTTCCTTTAATTGCGGAAAATTTAAGGAAATGTTTTAAAAAAATCAAGAGTTTGACGAATACCATTCGATGTTATGTTTATCTAAAGGAATTTATTGTATTTAGATATATATAGCTGTATAAATATAGAACACAAAACTGCAAAAATATTTAATCAGGACACGATGTTATTAAGATCTTTGCTCCTCGATGACTCGTCGATGACTAGCGAATGAGCATTAATGTTGAGCATCGAACATTCGAATGTTTTGTCGAAACTCGAAAACACACTTGTGTGTCCGATGTGTCCGGGATACTTTTACAATTTTAAATGTTTTTCTTATAGTTTAATACCCCAAGTCTTGCCCCAAGTCCGAGGTCAATCATGCATGAAGGTCTTAATGTTGATTCCCGACTTTGGTACATTCGCGCGGACCGAGGTTTCCCATACAAAGTGCGTCGAAAAAGTTTCACCGGAAGAACATTTTCTACGTCCGAGAAATTATACACTCTCCACCTGAAACTAGACTTTGGAGAGGTCCAATTTTAGGTGAAGAGTGCACTTAAAACTGATTCATTAACAATGAGTCATCTCATAAAAAGCAAAAAGTGAAAAATTAAAAAACAAATTGCTAAAAATTTTTAAAAAAAATCACTTAAAACTGCTCCTGTAGTCTTTCAAACAAACGCAGTTAAACTGGGTAACGACATGTCTTCAAGTGCAATGGAAAGTAAGTGTTCCTAGTAAAGTATAAGTAAATTTCCACAACAAACTAGATTTGCTTTATTTTCATTTGTCCTTGAAAATTTATTGATATTTTCTTTTGATTAATGTATATTTAGAGCATCTCTTCAATCTCAAATTTGCTGTTAAAGATTTAGAACGATCAGCAAAGGTTTGTTAAAAACAAATAAATAATTTCAATAATAGATAATTTTATAACTTTTAGAAAGCCGAGAAGGAAGAGAAGCTTGAAATTGCAAAAACAAAAAAAGCCATTCAGAAAGGAAATACGGAGGTAGCTCGAATTCATGCAGAAAATGCTATTAGACAGAAGAGCCAGTCCTTAAATTATCTACGAATGAGTGCAAGAGTTGATGCAGTCGCAAGGTGTGTGCTTAAAGTACAATAATAAAAATTTTTTTATCAAAACCGTGATAAAATTTCAGTCGTGTTCAAACTGCCCTGACAACCCGTAAAGTTACAAACTCAATGGCTGGTGTTGTAAAAGCAATGGATGCAGCTATGAAAGGGATGAACCTAGAAAAAATTTCTGGATTAATGGATAAATTCGAGTCACAATTTGAAGATTTGGATGTTCAAAGTAATGTTATGGAGAACACGATGTCATCGACAGTAACTACATCAGTTCCTCAGAACGATGTTGATTCTCTAATGCAGCGAGTTGCTGACGAAGCTGGATTGGAATTAAATATGGAGCTTCCAGCTGGTCCTTCATCGACAATTGGACAAAGTACTCAAGTGTCTCAAGAGCAGGATGAGTTAACCCAACGTCTTGCACGATTACGACAAACAGAATAAAGTTCTTTCATTATATAAATGAACAGCTTATTTTATTAATTGATTAATCCCATTGCAAATTATTTGACATGCCTTTAAATGAATAAAAAAGAAAATTAAGCATATTACAAAATTACAGCTTTCATTTGTATAATGCTACTATATTTTAACTATATTGAAGTTAAAAACATAAATCAATTTTGAGTATAATAATTATGAGAACAAAAACAAAATCAAGTCTTTAATAAATGAATTAAAATCTTTTGATAAGAAACTTCTAAAAATCTCATCAGAACAGAAAAAAGCAAACCTGTAATGGAAATTTGTAACCAAAGTAGAAACACAATTTTTTTTATTATCCTTCGATTCGGTATTTATTGAGCTTTAATTATTCTTAATCATTATTTTTTTATTATATTATTTTCATAAATCTCCCTTATTGAATGATTTATGCGAATCAAATATAAATTGTTCATTCCATGTTAAATAAAAAATTCAACAAAACTTGTTTCTGTGAAAAATGACTTATCTACACTTTGATCTTGTTTCTTAAATTATTTGTATGTGTATTTTGTTCATTATCAAAACTGTTATATGCTGCACATCTCTAGCAAAAATAGATCTTTAATATTTAAGTGGAATATTGCCTCCCTTCATTTAATTCTTTTTTTATTAAAAAAGTTTTTACGATAACCTGATTTTTACTAATAAGTTAAGAGAGAAGAATATATGAATGAAAGAAGTATACAAAATATGTTGGGAATGTAAGTTGAACAATTATACAAATTTTTATTTGTACATATTTTATTAAATTTTCATCGCAAAAATTTGATAAAATTGCAGCTGCATATCAGAAGATCAAAATGTCATAGTGGACAGATAAATTTTCTAAATCGAATATTTTTTAAATTATTGATCAGCGCAGAAATGTTTGAAGCATTATTATTTTGAAAACAATATTCAAAACTAATAGAAGACGATCAAAATAAATACATACAATGTTTAAGTTCAAATATTGTTGCTTTCAATTGAATGTTGTTAAAAAATAAAAAAAATTACTTTGAATGAAAATCAAAAACTTAAATATGTATATGTTTGCTTAAGACATTTAATAAGGGAAGATTAAAAACATATTAAATAATTTAATTATTAAAAACAACATAATTAAAATATATTTTACAACGCAACGCTCCATTCATTCTTCAATTTTTCACTCTAGTTTACAAATCAAATGATTTTAATTTTTTAGACAATAACTTTCAAAACTATATTTTCATAACTGTTTCAATAACTTTAATTAGACACTCATTTAAAAATTTAGCAAATTGAAAGGTTAAGAAAAGAAAAGGTTACGCAAATAAAGAGCTGTTAATTATAAGCAGAAAATTTGAACAAATAAGGTACATTTCTTTTATTCTAACAAACGATTTGAATTTAGAAGCATTTTTAACTTTTTTACAGATGCATAGTAGAGCTTGACAATTTTATTTTCTTTCGTTCCTTTCTGCATGAACTTTTAAATAATATTGTTGTTAATTAAAATTGAAAACTGAAATATGTATGTCTAATTGAAAATCAAAGTTTTCGTAGTTGTAAACGACTCTGCAATAGTTCCTAAGAGTTTTTTGTTGCATAGGTAGATAATTATTTGTTTACTTCTTTAATTTAGAAAACCTTCTTTCAAATACAATAAATGATACAAATTCTTATAAATTAATGAGGAATATTAATTGTTGCCTCTAACCATTTGTTCATAAATGGTTTGAGTGTGTAGTTTGTATTTTTATTTTGAAAAATTCAATAACTTTGAAAGCCGAAGAATGAAAAAACCCTTTCGCGAAACTTATATTTCAGGTAAAACGCCGATCTCTCTTTGGTATTTTCTGATATTTAACTGATTAAACTTTAAATTGAATCTTTTTTCTTGACTTTCATAAGCTTTACAAATAAAAAAAATTCTGAGTAAAGGTGAAGGAATAAAACAAATGTTTTGACACAAAAACTAAGCGCACATCGTTCTTATGTAAATTAATCCATTAAACGTCTAACAATATTCATTTAAATAGATAGGTATTTACTATTTGTCCGGTTACTTTACATGGTTCTTATAGCATAATAATGACAGTATTCGTATCATATAAATCCTCACTTTTTACTTTAATGGTAAACTACTCATTTAAATAGGCATAAACCAGAAATACCGATGAAATCATGTCAAAATATTCCGAAATATTTAATTGATTAATAAAAACCACCTATACAAATTTCTAAATATAAATATTGTTCTAATATTTTTCTTTTTTAAATTTGAAACTACAAATCGGGAAAGTTTTCTTAACATGAATAAGAATGAAAATAACAAAAACAAAAAAAAATTGATAACTTTTATTCTTATTTGAAAGTCGGGAAACGAAATTTCAGAGAAACATTTCCTTCTAAAATGAATATACAAAATGTATATTGGAAAAAGATTATTACTGGTTTATTGAGCCTTGACTTTATGGTCTAATTGTTTAGCTTGTTGTGATGTCATTGATGATGTAGCTAACTTCTTACCTTTACGTGCGTTACTTGACAGATAAGTTAGATGAAAGAAACGGGCAAAAAGGATGAAATAACTGGCATACATAGCAATGGAAAGTTTGATGTTAGTCGGTGAAATGTTGCATGCGGCATGTCCAGCTTGTTGAAGGAAGCCATGTGCCCATACGTTGATGGCACATCCAACGACCATTTGCGTCAATTGCAGTGCAGTAATCACCATGGAGATAAAGCGTGGTGGATGGAATTTAAGAGCTCGTAACGCATAGTAAGTATACATGAGAGAATGAACACAATAATTCATAACAACAAACCAACGGGCTGATGCTGTATATTCTGTGTAGGAGAACCATGAATACATTAGGACGGTGATATGGTGATACCAATGTAAGAAAATCAATGGTTGCTTTCGTAAAACTATGAAAATAGTATCGCCAAGTTCTGGCAATTTTGAAAGCACGAAGAGCCAAGTCCAAAATCCGCAAACTTTATCGTGTTCGATGTAACTGTGACCAAATAAAAAAATGTATAACCTTGAAAGTATCTTTAACATTTAAACTTACTTATATCTATTTAGTAATATGAAAAAAAACACAAGCAAAATAGTCATTATGAAGCACTTTTTTAAGAATCCGACAGCTTTAAAAGTTCAATAACACTCAATTTTTTGCTAAAATCTGTTATTCAATGTCAAATTAGAGAAATATAAAATTTTTATTCCACGTTTTTAAAGCTATGACGTCAATAGCTTTAAATACATCATTATTCTCATTCAAACGATTCTTTAGAATTCCTTCTGTTGCCACTATAAATATAAAGGCGATTAATATTATAAAGAAAGACAAACTTAGATGAGAGATATAATTTTAATGGCACAGGTACTAGACATATTACAAAAAAAAAGGTTATTTCCAAACTCTCGTAATATGACACAATCCGAAAATTGTTCTTTTATATGAAATCTTAGCTGCAACCATTATCAAAAAGATTATTAACCAAATTTCTGCTCAAAATACAAATGTGCGCAATTTTACACAAACGTTGAATATTGAAATTATCTAATTACAGTTACAACTTGCAAGTATATTTTTAATCTTTGAAATATGTAAAACAAACAAATTTTGAGAATTGATTCACGGCGTGAATAAGTTGTTTTCTTTTTTTGCTATCGAAACTTAATCATTAAAAGAAAAAATAAAATGAATTCTTTCACTTTAAAACTTAAATAAAAATTCCAGCCAGATACGCTTTAAATTGTGTTTATTTGATGAGCTTACGTCAAAGCTCAGCAAAAAAAAAGTTCTACAGTCATTGTTTGAATTTGAACTCAGACATTCAAGTAAGTAATTCATTATATCATAGCAAAAAATACCCATAAATTATTTTTAAATGAATTCTGATTTCAACTATAGGCAGGCATATGACAATCGTTTTAAAGTTTAAGTTTAGCGTAAAAATAAAATAAAAATTATGAAATAAAGATAATATCAAATACCTAACACCCATTTTACAACTTAACTTATTTTGTATTTACGACATAAGAGATAAAAATAGAAATGATAAAAATTAATTATTTAATATGTATAGTATATTATTATCTAGTATGAAGATACTATAAACAATAATAAACATCAAAGTGATCGAGCTGAGAATTTTAAAAACATACATTTTAAATAAATTATGTTGAGTTGCAAATTAATAATAAAATTTGTTTTAAATACTTTTTTCATATTTTTATCATTTTCAGTATCAAGAGAAATGAATGCAGCCGATAATTTGATTGCTTAGAATGACGTCTTATTAACACTCGTTTCATAGTTAATAAAAACTATTAAATACAATAAGTCTAAATCAGGAGATAACTTTACGCAGTAATCACTAAAATGTTATCAACAAAAGTAAAACTATTCAAATAATGTAAAAACAAAAATTCCAAATGGAAAATGACCAAATTTTCCCCTCCCAAAAATTACGAAATTAATTTGATAGAATTAAAAAAATATATCGCGGTTCTGATCAGATTCTTGACAAGAAAACACTTCGTTTATGAAATTTCACTAGTTCGTATTTATTTCAACAGTCAAAAATATTTTACCTACCTTGGTACACAGACAGAATGAAATAAACCATAGTTCCGAAGAACATGAATTAATTCGGGCGCTGTTCTGAAAGCTCCCATTATGCTGAACATCGCCAACATTGTATTCCATAGTGATAAAAGCCCTCGAAGTTGAAACCTGTTGAAAATCAAAATTAACTTATTCAGTTAAAAGAATAACAGAACTTTTTTTAAAACCGTTTATACATTTAGAGAAAATCAATAAAATTGTCATTTACGTTTTAAAAATTAATGAAAAGAACATAATATTTTCAGTTTTCATAAATTGAGAATGCCACTTGCCAAACTTGCAGCAGAATAAAATCCATAATGAAAATCGCCAACATTTGTCACTAACCGGCATATTACTCATTTTCACTCAATCATTCCCTTATCTTGCTAAATAAAAATTTGACTGTCACTATCACAATATTTTAGATACCTATGTATTTTAAAATGATATAAGAAAAATTCACGTCATTTGACTAGCAAATGAAAATAATATCTAATTCGTACATCAACAATTTCTTCTGAGTTCAAGAATAAAACATTCTTTAGTAACTTTGAACCCATATTGAAATAAGTATAATAAAATGTAAAAGCTCTTCTCTCATTGGGATTCCAAGTAAAATTTAATGTCGCTTAGAAGAATTTAATCAATCCTCTTAAAATTTGAGTGTGTAACTATTTTTTCTGTCATAAATTTATCTACTAAGAAATTAACATTATTTGTTAGTTATAGAAATGTGAAATGCCTATCGGCAAGGAAGTTCTTCTCTACTGAAGTTCTACTCAAATTTTACGGAAATTAGTAGCACAAAAACTTCATTGCTCTTCTATTAGTAATATCGTGTTTAAATTACTTGCTTCCCTGTGAACGATAAAGTTTATGGAATTCTTCATATTTTTACATAAGATCTTGTGTATGTTTACGCTCAAAAATGACTTACGAAACATTCCAAAAATAAAGATAAAAAATGTGCATAGCTCGGTGTTATATTTTTAGTGACCAGTAGCATTCTTTTCCGGTTGTTACGTGTGTTTAATTGACGTCACACTATTTACTATCTGGTTCTAAATGACTACAATTGAGAGAGAATAACAGTGTAATATTCTGAAGTTTCATAACACCTTTTATTCTGCTGAATGTCGTTTAATTCAAGAAGATCATTTATTCTTTTTTATTGCCAGAGTAAGAAATCTTCTTTAATTTTGACAATGCTTATATGAACTCTGACGGACATTGAAAATTCACATAGGTGAAATGTCAACACATATATACTAAGAATCGTGCAATTGGAAAAGAATCTGGTTAAACACGTTGATTTATATTGATAGCGACCTAACACAAGGTTATGCACATGTTTGTTTTTTTCATGGTACATAATGTATGTATTTCATTTATTCACATTATGGGTCAGCACCCAGGGATTTACTCTTCTTTTCATTTCATCATCAGACAAGGATGCGTAATGTAAATATGTGATATTTATGCTTGATGCGGATGTAAGACAATATTATTGATTTTTTTTTTATTTAACTCACCTAGATCTATTCGCCATAAACTGTTGACCTCCAAATATTACAAGCATATAAACGCCTGAATACCTGTGTTGCAAACGATTTACAAACATAATCAGTATTTGAACTCATTCTACAGGTGATATCATTATTACCAAAACACATAAGTCCAATTTTGTTGCATCCATATTCTTGTTTTCTGGTGAGTGAAGTGGGCTTCAAAATCAAACATGTAAGAATAGTTTGGTTTCACTTCAGAAACTTCAAAATTCCATCCTTTTGAATCCATTTCAATAAATGTTATTATTTAATTTAATTCTTCGTTGTGTTAACTTCTATAGACAATAACCCAAAAAGATAACTTATATCACTTTTCGGGAGCACTTAAATGCTTGCTTATCTGAAAAGCAAAGGGAGAGTGTGAAATGTATTAAAACATTACCCGAGGGAGCATTTTATAGTAACATATACTGAAGTTAATGATGAACTAAGTAGTTGAGATGGAATTTCACTTTTACTTGATATTTAATCTATTTTCAAAATTTTCAATGTCATTTATCCTTCTTCTCTTAAAAACTTCAAC